CTAGTATTACTCAAACGAAATACCACATCCAGCACTCCATGATTCTTCAACGTGAATAAGAGAAATCAAGTGGTACACTGATTATCTTTTTTGAGTTGTCTGCATGCAATTCTTATTGGCTGGCCCCTTGGATTGGTTATCAATTAATTGACCCGCTTGAGTCTCTCTACGGTATAACATCGTAAGTCTTTTCTGATGATTGATCACACTGGTTTCTTCTATGTCAAAAGACATCAAGAATATCTCTTTCTTTTGTTAGCCTCATGCGGCCTAAATAAAAAGTGACCAATTTTGTTGCATGAAAATTGATTCCATTGGAATAAGTAGCCTCAAGAAGTACCTTATGATCCTTCCACGTGAAGATAAATAACCCCTCTTGCTCCGTGAGCCGACATCCACCGTGAGAGGTAGAAAACATATGATCTCTCTTTGCCTTTTTTGAAATACACGTTTCGCAAGATAATCACCAACTTGTGTTATTCACACAAGAATAGGTCTGTACATTATTATTGCATTCTCTATTGTTGTGCAATTCCAATTGCAGTGACTAGCCCGAGCACTCGAATAAACTTGATCATTGTTTCTCACATATGACGCCAAAATGTCAGAGGCAAAAAATTAATGATACCTTCTACAAGGAATTTGATGTGATCTTTCTGGTAAGGAATGTTTTTAAACTTGATCTCTCAATCTTTCTGTTCTGCAAAACGAACAAATTGTCCAACATCAAAGTGTTTCAATCGAAGACACTTTGATGCTTAAGTCAGTATTGGAATAGAAACATTTGCTAGAAGATAAGGAGAGTTTAGCGTACCTTCTACCTTGACTCTTTTTGCTTTTTATAGACCCTGTTCAGTTAGGGTTTCCATGAATTTCGATTCATGGTGACACACATTCCCCTAATTAGGTGATTCTGTTTAAAAAGTCGCTAAGATCTCTCCAGTAATTCCTTCTATTAAGTCTATTCGTTTATCCAAAATGCCTGAATTGTAAGCATATTTTTAGCACCACGTTACTGTTTTAAACAACTCGGTCGTGACGAGTACCGAGCTCATTCCTTCATTTCTGAGCTTTCTGATCTGCTCTGTTTCTATTTGATGACAACTTGGTCGGATCTCATCTTTTGCTCGGCCAGGACAATATAGCTGTCTGTTCGGTCGAGTTTTAATATGTATTAGGTCGGACCAATTTTAGCTCGGTCGGAATAGCCTAGCTACTTGCTCTGCTCAGCCTGGATAGCCTAGCAACTTGTTCTGCTCGGCCCGGATAGTCTAACTACTTGGTCTACTCGTTTCGGATAGCCTAGCTACTTGTTCTGTTTGGCCCGAATAGCCTAACTATCTGCTTGATCATAGTAGAGTAATTCTAAATAACACTATTCAGTACGTACAACTTGATTCGTGTCCAAATTTAACTGTCAAATAATTATCAAAATTTATTGACCCGTTCATCTATGATTTGCTGCTGGACCGGAAGTTGTTGGGTTGTTTTACATGTGTTTTTGGCTTGAAGTTTTTTGAGTCCTTTTCTTTAAAAGGCGCATGTGTCTTGGTTTTATTTTGATTGTTCGGTTTTATTTTGATTGTTCTGTTAGGCGTTTATTTTTCGCTTTTTGCTTCTTGTAATTCTTTGTTTTTGTAAATAAATAAAATTTCCTTTTAGCAAAAAAAAAATAATTAATTCTTGATAATTTTTATTTGAATTTTTTGTGGTTATTAGTGTTGCAAATTGGTTCAAATTTAAACATTAGCTTTAGAAGCAAATATTTTGTGGTTTTAAGTGCTTACAACAATAGTCGCAGAATTCATTGGATCTGAAGAGAGAATATGAACATGACAGAGATAAAAATAGTGCAACACACATAGTAACATTAATTAGTAATAATCAAAGGGTTAATTATAAATTGTACCCCGAAAGATAGTTTAAATTTTAATTTAAACCCTCAAAGATAAAAAAATCTCAATTTATACCCTTAAAAATAGAAATTTGTATCAATGTACACCTCCAAAGATCAACAATCTTAATTTGCACCCTCAAAGATAAAAATTTATATCAATTTGCACTCCCAAAGATCAAAAATCTCAATTTGTACCCTCAAAAATAACAATTTGTATTAATGTGCATCTAAAACTAAATTGATAAATTATACTTAGATTCTCTCATATTTGTCACTTAATTATTTGGACCCCTTCACATTTAGAATATTACTTCTACATCTCATGACGTTTGTGCACGTATAACACATAAGCCATAACCCATTTTCGTTGATATATGTTAATATAATCGAATTTTATCCTAATAAAAAATTATAATTTTATATTACCCTTTATTTTGTGGGTTCAATATACTTTAAAGTTCAAAATCAAGCTTACCATTTGAATGTCCAATAAAATATAGATATTTATATAATATTTTAAATGTGAAGGGGTTAAAATGATTAAGTGACAAACATAAAAGGATCTAGGTATAATTTATCAATTTAGTTTTAGGTGCACATTGATACAAATTTCTATCTTTGAGGGTGCAAATTGAGATTTTTTATCTTTAGGGGTGCACATTGATATAAATTTCTATCTTTGAGGGTGCAAATTGAGATTTTTGATCTTTAGGAGTGCACATTGATACAAATTTCTATCTTTGAAGGTATAAATTGAGATTTGAATAATTTTTCAGGGTATAATTTACAATTAACTCATACTCAAATGATATATGACACACATATAGTAACATCAATTAATAAGATGATATAGTAACACTCAAATTTTTTTTTAATATTTTTTTGCTATTAAACTCAAATTATTTAACGTTTGCATAGTATTGGTTTTAAATGTTACTATTTTTTGATCATTATTGTGTTCAGGTTATTATTTATCTCCCTAATATGTTTAATGTTACTGTATTTTATTTTGTAGATTACTTTTTCTTATCGCCATTGTGTTCGTGTTAGTGTTACGTTCAATGTTACTATTTTTAATTTTTAATTTTAATAGTTTTTACATGCATACATCGAGTTTTGATAAAACTGACTTTTATTATGTTTCTTCTATGAGGGAAAAAAAGGAGTTCAAGGTATTTTGGACAATTGGTGTACAAATGTCCTTAGACCCAACATAATTTTGAGAATGAATTTAAAGCCCAATAAGTTCTAAAATTGGATCGGCCTCCAAAATTTTCAATTTATTAAGATTACCGTCTTTTGTTACTGTCCTTCCTCTTGGTTACAAATAAGTTTATCAATAGATTGAATTTAGATAATATTTTAACTAATTTGAATCTGGTAACCTAAATTCAATTTGATTATACGATAAATTTTATTTTCATAGTCTATATCTGAATTGTCAACAGTTTAAAATCTGATCCAATTCAAATAACTTAATTTACATAAAATTTAACAAATTATATCTAAATTTCAATTAAATTTCTTGAAATAATTACTTAATTTCTTTAATATATATAGAAATATATACATATTTTGGATCGAATCAATTATACGTTAATTATAAAATAATGGATTCAGATTTGGGTTCAGATTATTAGTAAAAAAATATCGATTCATATTCAGTTAATCGACTTTTGATTCAGATTAAATTTAGATCACAATCTGATCCATTGATAAGGCTATTCACAAGATGAGAGAATATTCAATACAACGAGGATATCGTTAGTATTAAAGATATGATATCACCAACTAATAATAAAAACTCAAATGGACAGAGTGAACCCTACTTGAGTACTCCATTCGTTCCTAAATATCTGTCGTTTTATCCAATTTTTTTTGTTCCACAATATCTGTCGTTTTTTGAAACCAAAGCATAATTAATATTTTTTCTTCCAAATTTATCTTTATCTCTGTTTTTCAACAAGTACTTAAGAGATTAAGTATAGACTAAGTGTCTTTCATATTCATTTCATTCCCAATACGTATTGAATAAGGGTATTGTAGTCTTGTACAATTATTTTTTACTCATATTATAGCTATTTAATAACTTTCTTAATCCCTGTGCAAAAATTTTAAACAACAGATATTTAGGAATGAAGGGAGTAATTATTAACTTACATTAAAGATGAGTAGATAATTATTCACTTATATGGACGGGTAGTCGTTAGTTTATGTGAAATATATTTTCTTATTTGTCTATATATTATTAATTTATTGATTATACTACGTGACAATACTGACGTAATATAACAATTATAATAGATATTTTTTCTCACAAGGGAGGTGGAAGCTCAAATGATTCCGCTATATCAATGATCCTTTGGTCATATGGTAATTTTTACCTTGTGAAGACTTTGTCTTCTTAAGGTAAAAGGTTCAAATCTCCTTCCCATAAAAAAAAAAAAAAATTATCCCACTAGAGGTGCAACTTGAATAGACTGAGAGTTTAATTCGAACTCAACCTAAGATATAAAAATCTCATTCATACCTTTTAATCCAATTATTGTATCTATTCAACCTTTTGAATTTTTTACTATGCAATCCGAGTTAAAATCATATTCGATTCACAAATAATACAACTTACACTAGAACTTGAGTTTGACTCGAGTTGAATGGAAATATTATAATAAAGTTACACAATTTAGACTAGGATTGGGACTAATTCGAATTCATCAATTTGGGTTGTGTTTGGATTGGTACGTACCCAAAACCCGAGACCCACGGGCAGCTCAGTAGTGTGAAACAAGATTTGGGTAAATCATAGATTTGAACATAAAAAATTCGACTCTTGTTGGTATGTCTTATGGTTAACTGATATTTGTAACGTGGAGGTAATTGTAAATATTCAAAATTTACTCACAAAAATAAATCCAAAAAAATAACATAATTACTTGGAGTAGAGATAAAAGGCCAGATCGCACTGATAAACAAGAAGTCATAATATCATCCAACCGGAAAAAACCTATGTTCCATGCCAAAAGCCCAAAAACATAAATTCATCTGAAAAAGCCAGGTCTATTGGGAACAAAGCAGCATGATAGTTCAGAACCATGGTAATTATTTAATTACTATCACAAGGATCAATTCCACCAAAAAACTCAAAGAAGCGTTGGTCACAGGAACCTTCTTGATCATTAATGCAAGTAGTCTCTGGGTTACTTGAAGCAGTAGTAATAGGGGAATTCTCAGCAGACGAGGAAGCAAGAGAAGAGCTTGCTGTTCTTCTTTCTTGTAAAATCCCAGTTGGGTGCAGTGGAAATAGATCCAATGTTTCTTGACCACAGTACTTGTTTGTGTTTTTAATGAACTCCTCGTTATAATCGGTTCGCATCATGATGTTTAATCCTTGGTTTGCTGGTTCGTAACCTGTACCGCCACCACACTGTTTAGTCTTGTCGACGGTCTCTGGCCTGGGTCTCCTCCTGATGCCACCAGGTAGAGGTAACTTGGGGTTGGGGTACTGCGGATAGAACCCTAGATCACTCTGTGGTATATAATATGGGCCGCAAACAACTGAAAAACCAGAAAAGACCAGTTTCAGATAATTGGTGAATCAACCAAATAGACAGTGAATCAGAGAAAGGGGGAGGGGGGGAGAGCAAGAAGACAGAGCAACAAACTATGGAGTTGCTCGCAGAAAACAAGATGGTGGAAATCCAACACACCACGAGAGAGAGAGAGAGAGTCTAGGCGTGGAAGTGACTACTAGTAATTACTAGGTTTCCCAAGCCAGCAGAAACAATAAAAGACAACTTTGATCATATTCAATGAAACCTTGCATGCGTATTGAAAAATAGGCATTTGATTTGAATCTGATAACAAACAATGATAGCGATAGAAACTGCAGAATAAATTTAGTGTTGGAGCCCCTACGCAAGAAGACAACCTGGAAGTACTGGATCATACCACAAATTCAAAATACTCAACCATTATAAAATTTGAACAAGAAGAAGCCCATTAATATTTCTCTTAAAAAACGCTATTTCAACTTCCAAATAGATTTAAGAGTAATATTATTTAAATTTAAAATTTGATCTAATTTGATAATTTAATGATATCACTTTTGTGAAATTATTGAATAAACAATAAATTTTAATATTTAATAGAGTCGACCGTCAAACCAAAGACCATGTAAATTAGATTCATAAATTGAGTTAAAATATATAAAATTGCTCATAGAGTCATATACCATATGTGGATAGATATAAAGACGAATACAAACCATTTGGGCAAGGAGGAGGAAAAGCAGGCGAAGCCTTATGAAGATATCGATTGAAATAAGACACGTTCTCTTGCTTCTGCTTCTGCCTTTGCCTTGCTTTGTGGTTTTGAAACCAATAGAACACATTTTTCCCTTCTATGTGACCGTACGCCTTGAGCCTGCTCGTTATCTGTTGTATCTGCTCAGCGCTTGGCGTTCTTATGCCTTGCTTATACAAGCTCTCAAGCATGCTTATTTGTTCCTTCGTCGGGTTCCATCTAGAGCCCACCGGAGTTCCGCAGGAAACCGACATGTCCACCCCTTCACCACCCTCCATTTTCAACCACTCCCAAATCAAAAAAAAAAAAACAAAATTAAGTCTAAAAGAGACAGAGAGAAGGCTGGTTTGTTTTCTGCATGGAAATTGTACTCTTTTATAGAGTGAAAAAAGCATTGAGAGAGAGAGGGGGGGGGGGGGGGAGGGGTCAAACAAAAAGGCGAGAGAGCTTAACATGCGTATTGTTTTTGGTGATGAACATCTCTGAAAACATGGCAATTAGCGGCTGCGAGGAGGCCGATTTCGTCCTGGTATGAGTGGAACTACATGGTTCAAAGGGCGATAATACCCCTACATTCGTCTGCATTAGAATTGTCTCGGGAATGAAAGATGGTGACTAAACGTAGGATACGCCATGGAAAGGAAAGGAGGGGCATATTTAGGAATAAGAGGAAAAGACAGCCGGTTGGTTTGTAAGGTGTAGGTACGTATAGGTGGTATAGGCTTTGGGAATTGATGAAGTAGTGAGAGTGCAGGTAAGTGCAGATGATGATAAATCACCTGAAAACTTCAAAGACGAGGTGACCTTTGGTGGGTGAGTGCTGAGATGAGCAATGGCAATTTGCCATGTAATGGTGAAAAGGTTTTTAGGTAGAGAAATGATAAGGCAATTCTAGTAAATTGTGTTACCATTGTAATTAGGTTAGTTGAACAAGGATTAAATCACACGCTTTGTCGCATTTGCATCTATACTATTTCTAACAATTTTTTTTGAAAAAAATTCTCCAGATTTATTGCAATAAAGTAAATTCTAAAGCATTTTATTTGCTTAATTCTTCTTTTTTTTTTAAAGAAAAATACATGTTCGATCCCTTTCTTGCCCACTCAGATTAATTGTTAGTTTGCTATGCGTACTACAAGTTAGTAGTCAATCTTTGTCTCACAATATTAACGATTCTTAAGTTTTTGTACTTATCTAAAATTCATAATAACTTTTTGTTCTTTTTTAATACCCCCGAGTTGGTGAAAAATTCATAATAATACAATGAAACTCAAACCCTTACTCTAATTTGAATAAAAAAAAGATAAAAAACTTGTTTTGGTACAGACATATTTAATGAAAAAATTTAAATTTAAAGGAAGAGAAACCTAAATTTAAATGAGAACAAATACAAATTTTAAAAAGAGTGAAATATGACTATTAGATCTTTAAAGAATGATAAAATCTCACAATTAAATATTTAAATATAGATTTAAGTCTTCCTTTATTTGAGTTTAAAAAAGACTTTTCCTTCGTTTGGTATGAATATGAGTTTAACATTGTAAAATTATTTTAGACCATTTTTTATTCTGTGAAAAATTTAATTATAGTGCTATTAGGAAAAGTTCAAGCTTTACTAAAAAAAAATAAGGGTTAATAGGTCATATGGGTCTTGTGAAAATAATAAGAATAGAAATTATTTAATTTCATAATCATAATTTTGTTTTTGAAATAAGTGAGAGTTGGTGGTTACTATTTCACAATATTATAAATTAAATTACAATGTAACAGCTCACTAGAAAAGGCTATGGTACTATTGGTGGTATCGTATAAAAAATTATAATTTTTTAAAATTAATTTATAAATTTTTTGATGTGTAAATTATAGTTTTAAAGGTCATAATCGATCATAAAAAAGTTAAAATCGATACCGATAATTAATGTTCAATCATGACCTTCTTTTAATCTATTGTAACTTTTGATTTTAAAGTTATAACTTTACTATAAAAATTAGGAAGGATAATAGGGTACTAAATTATTTTTTTGGGTCCCGTAGACTTTTTCAGCTCACTCGACTCGGAACTTGATTTGGGTTTTATGGTAAACGTGCCTCAGAGTAGCAATCTCTCCCATGGAGAATTCATATCTGAGAGCCATGGCTTGGGTCTGTATGCTTCTTAAAGTGGGTTGAACATATGAATTACACGCAAATACATGCAACTATAGTACTTATATTTACACAAATTTCTGAGTGCCGCGGTTTCAAGTGCCGCCACCTACAAGCCGCCGTATCGTGAAGCTAACCACAGCCACCTCTTCTGCTCGAGGTTTCTAGGCACCTAATACGATGCAGATTGGATTGTCCTGGTGTATCAATGTTTTGTCAAAAAATTGTCTACAAACGACGACTCTTTGGCCAGAAGTGGAGGGGCACACTTTGGATTTTTCATAATTATGGGACTAGGCTAATAAATTCCATGCCGTTGTATACACAGTGATTTGACATACTAGAAAAAACCTTAGTTTGGGAAATTAAATGGTGGTCTGCTTGAGTATTTTGTAACCTGTTAAAGTAGCGTTTTTTACTGGAAACAGTGGCTTAATTTTAGGATTAAAACCAAATTTTCGTTGCTAAGTTCCAATACTTTTAACCTTTTGAAAGCATTTTAGACGACTTTTGTATTTCCTAAATTTTGTTAGTAATACAAAACATAAAAAAACTCCAAGTAATTATCCAATAATAAGATGGGAGATTTTGTAAGAGGTATACATTCAGATAGTTTTTTGGTTTTATAATATTATTAAGACTAAAAGTCCATAAAATCAACATTGACATATATACCTTTTGATTGGGCCGACCCCATTATTACATGTCATATGACATTAGATGAAACTCACGTTAGGTTAACAAGACAGGTCACGTGACAAAAAAATCATTTATTTAGCCTTATAAATCGAGTCGTACTAATCAAAAGGATCGACAAAGAAAGAAAGAGCTCGATTTTCATTATGACCGAGTTGATTAAAGCGTTTGGCTCTTATCAAGAGATCGGCTCTGACAAAATTGAGCTCATTGATGTGCTCGACAAACAAAGAAGTAGTTCGACACTTAAAATGACCGAGCTGTTTGCAACAGTACAAGGAAAGATAAAGATTCGCCTATAACTTAGGCATTTTGAATGAACGAATCAACGAAACTGTGGATATCTGGAGGAATTGTTATAGAAATATCAACAACTTCTCAAACTAAATCGCTGAATTTAAGGAATGTGTGTCACCTTGAATCAAAAATCACAGAAACCCTAATGAGATAACCATCTATAAAAAGTAGAAGAAATTAAGGTGAAAGGTACGCTAAACTCTACTTGTCTTCTAGCAAACATTTATATTCCAATATTGACTTAAGCATTGGATTGTCTTCTATCGAAGCACTTCGATCTTGGGCAATTTGTTTGTTTTGCAGAACATGAAGATTGAGAGATCAAGTTCAGAGATACTCCTTACCAGAAAGATCACATCAAATTCCTCGTAGAAGGTATCGTTAATTTTTTGCCTCTTACATCTTTAATGAAGGAGATTATTTAAATTAATAATTATCTCATTCTTATATTTATTATCACAAACATCATCATACCAACGCCACCATCATCATTTGTCATCTCCCACCACCATTACTGTCCTCTACCACCATCAACACCAAACATTGTTGTCGCCTCCACCACAACTATCGACCAACACCAACTGAGTCGAGCTCGAGAAACTCAACTTGATTATTACTCTTAAGTGGGAGAAGGATAAGAAAGAAAAAGAAAAAGAAAAGGATAACAATTTTTTTTTAAAAAATAAGAGCGCTCAGAGACTTGCCCAATAGGTCTTTATTGGTGGGATCATAAGTTGTCAAACGTGTCGGGTTAAACGATTACGTGTCGAGTTAAACGGGTAACAGATGAAAAATATATAAACCTGTACATAATACGTTTAATAAACGGATACAAAATTTCAACATGAACATGACCCGTTTAATAAACAAGTAACACAACACAACTCGTTTAACCCGTTTAATTTTAAAAAAATTATGTCAACAAATTTTAATATTATCTTTTTTTTACTGTCAATTGCACTTACTTCAAAAAAGAGAAATTTTTAGTCAAATCTCATAAAAATAAGCCTTGAAGGCTTAAATTAAAAAAAGTAAGAGATCATTATTTTTTATAGGCAACTCACCTCTCCTCATTCCCCCTCATTTTTCAATATGAGACAAAAACAAAAGGTATTGATTTGCTCTCTATCTCCTTTCCTTTGTTTTTGAACTACTACTTTACTTTTTTTTTATTGATTTATTTACTTCTTTTTTTCTTGCTAATTTTTTTAAATAATTATTAATTTATTATTATATAATTTTATTTAAATGGGTAAACATGTGATAAATGGTTTGACAGGTCTCACTCGAACACAACTCGTTTATTAAACGTATTTGGTTTGTCAACCCGTTTATCATCCAAACCTGTTAAGATTTCACCCAAACTCTTTAATTTGTGTCGATTCTTGTCGGTTAATCGTATCGTATCGAATTTTGATAGCCCTAATCATAAGACCCTGAGTGTATCCATTATTACTCCTCTCGGGAACTAACCTAACTAAGCTAGCATAACAGTCAATCACTGAGCGTCAATGTAGATTCTAAGACTCGAACTCTCAAACCTTAGAGTGAAAAGTTCGGCCGATATCCCACTGAACCATCTCATTCGATTGTAAAAAAATAAAATAAAAAGTACATATCAAACACAATCCAACTCTTCATGTGATAAATTATTATTGAACTTTGATAGCATGCCACACTTTGATATTGTTCAAGATCTCCACCATGAAAATAGAAAAATATAAAAGAGACATTTTTGTATTTGGTACTATTATTATATATTAGGACTAGTTATTTTCGTGTCTGAAGACACAGAGTAATAAAAAAAATAGCGAACAATAAACATATTTGTATTCACATCCAAAATTAAATTACAAAGATATATGAGAATTAAATGATTTTAAACTTCAGTTGTAATAGGGGTGAGCGGTGGTAGTTGTGGTGGGACGAGACGGTGATGGTTGTGGTGAGTGACGACAAACGACTATGATGATTGGCAGTCGTGAGTGGCAATGATGATAATTGTGGTGGTGGGGAGGTGGGAGTTAGTATGGGTGATGGTGACAAGGTGGCGACAACGGTGGTGGTGGTGAGGGTGGTGTTAGTGGGGATGGTGGTGGGTGGGATAGTGGAGGGGTAGCGACAGTGGTGGTTGTAGGGTGGCAACGATGGTGGTGGTGAGGGTAATGGTGGTGGTATGGTTGTGGCAACAATGGCGAAACGGCGAAGGGGTGGTGGTAGTGGGGCGATGGATGTTATAGTGGTGGTGGTGTGGTGGCGACAACAATAATGGTGGTAGTAGTGGTGGTGGTGGGGTGGTGGTGGTGGTAGTGGTGGTGATGGGGTAGTTCCAAACACTAATTTTTTTTTAAAAGTATTTATTAGAAGTTATAATTTGTAGAAGAACTTTTAAAAGGTTATTCTAAACACACCCTTAGGAGTCTATTTTTTCTATTAAATTTGGGGTGTTAATATTAAACTTCGGATTAACTTTAAAGTAAAATTTTAAGAGATATTAATTGCAAAAAATAAAAATTATTTTGATTATCTTTTGAGATTTGAATTGTATTGTATTTTATTATATAGATTATTCTCATCTTATAAATCTCTGTTCCCACCTCATAACAATTAATCATAAAACTACTAAATTCACCCTATCTATACCCAGCCCATTAGTAACTAAGTTCACCTCATTTTATACTCACTCTATTAATAACTAAACTTATTTCAATCTTCACCGTTTTTTTATATTTTATCTCACACATCTTATACCATAATATACTCAACTTGATTATCTAGTATAAATATCTCAAGTGATATTAAAGTTAGTATTTATTTTATTTTTTTATATTTGTTTTTTAATAATTATCAATAATTTTCATTTAAAGACTGTACATAAAATTGATAAGGATATAAATATATATATATATATATACACACACACACACACACACATTGATAATGATATGATTATGGTGTGGGCTACCCATCAAGAACCCAAAAAGCATCCAATGGGTCCAATGGTTACATGACAGTCCAAGTTACCCTCCGCAGTCCATCTACTCCGTAATAGGAATGAGTCGTAATCTAAAGAAGAAAGTCAAACAGAGCCCAGATCGACAAAATTCTACTCAGTCATAACAAACTTAGCAATAAGCAACTCGGAATAAAAGAGCTCGGTATTCATTGGATCCCGAACACCTCATGCCATATGTAAAGGGGACGAGGGGATAGTTTCTGAAACCACCAACAAATGCACACTCACTGAAAAAAGGAAATATTTGTACACATTCCATTGAAAAATAATGGAGATGATTTGTGTCAGAATAACGGTCACCACTACAAGACAAAAAGAGGAGGCCACATAATCAACCAAGGGAAGAAAAAGATCGCCAAAAAACCCTAAATGACTACTTGTATATATAATCCCCTTACATTGTAAAAGAGGGATATATGAGAGAAAAACTTGTACTCATAAGACATTGTTCACACTAGCACCCTACAGATCAGGAGCTTCCATTACAGTGGACTTAGTCTTAATTTTTCGGTTAAGGTGAACCATTTATATTTTGTCTTTGATCTCATTTCTTCATACCTTTTCTCTGTTAGCTTAGAGTATTCACACCACCCCTCCCCCATCTCATTAAACATTGTTTTGAATTTGGACTGTGCATTTTCGAGCACTATTATATACAAATATATAAACTTAACCTACTATTTTTTCTTGAAGAGAAATTCAAATGGAATGAATAGAATTTAAAAGATATTTTAGAGATCTATTTGTTTTTTTCTTTGTTACTTTCTCTGTTCATAAATATCTGTCGTTTAATGAAACCAAAGCATAATTAATTTTTTTTTTCAAATTTACCCTTAACTTTTCAAGGGTTGTTTAGTATGTGGGTTTGGGGGGGGGGGGGGGGGGGTTTGGGAACATGAGTTGAGGAGTAAACTCCCTTAAACTCATGTTTGATAACCGCGAAGTATAGATAGGATTTCAAATTCGGCCGGTTATAAAACCACATACTTGGGTTTCATGAAACCCAAGAGGGGGTGAGTTTCATTTGTGGGTTTGGAGGTTTAACATACAAATGACATTTATATTCCTATATATCCTATATACCTCATATATATAAATTGGTTAAAGGGTTAATAATCATATATATACAAATATATTATCATAATAGTCATATATCCTTGCGCATATCAAACATGGATATGGACAGCATTAAATGTTGAATCCCATCTTTGAATCTCATCTTTGGGTCAAACCCGGGTTTGGACAATTCAATCCAAACCCCTCCCAAAAAATATATCAAACAGGCCATTTCAATGCATTAGATTAGGTGGAGACTAAATATCTTTCATATTCATTTCTTTTCCAATACGTATTGAATAAGAGTATTTTAATTTTGTGCAATTATTTTTTTTCTCATTATGCAGTTATTTAATAACTTCCTTAATTTCTGTGTAAAAATCTTAAACGAGAGATATTTAGAAACGGAAGGAGTATTATTTAAACAAGTTTTTTTTTTTAATTTGTGATCTAGTTGTTGGTATCTTGACTATGTCAAAACGTAATTAAGAACTATTTTTTAATTAATTTAGTCATTAAAAAAAGTAGGTATAAAATGTGGGGAAGGATCGAAAAATAGTATTCCCACCCATATAAATTTCACATGTTCAAAAAGTCAAAGAAAACATACCATAGGACCATTGAATCTTTCTTTTTTTTTTTTTTTTTTTTTTACATCGTAAAAGAGACCATTGAATCCTTCAATTTCAAAATAAATCCTCAAAAGTCAAACCCATATCAAACAACAATTTGGTGATTCCACCTCCCCTTGAGAAAGCCTCTGCAGATCTTCTCCCAACACTTCCTATCTGGTTCACCCATCTGTACCTTCAACTTCGCATTTTCAGCAAAACTTCTCTCTATGGACTCATTACGGAGAAGACGATCAATGATATTGTTCAGAATATCTTTGGTATATTCAGGATGACCTTGAATGCCCAGAACATGGTTTGCCATAATAAACATCTCCACCCCAGTTTTATCCGATTCTGCAACCACTTCAGCTCCCACCGGAACCTCCCAAACCTCATCTTGATGACATTCAATGATCGAAAGTGCCTGCGGGACTTCAGTCAATTCATCAAGAACGCCACAAGGAAACAAATCCTTTACAATTCTCACTTTTCTCAACCCCAAATCCCAACCACTGTAAGCTTTCCCTACCCTTCCTCCCAAAGCTCTGCACAGAACTTGGTGACCAAAACAAATACCCAAAACTTTCTTTTTCATGGCGACTACGCTTTTCAACAGAAAGCAGAGCTTGAGTACCCAATAGTCATTGCCATAAGCATCAAACGAGCTACCACTGATAATAAAGCCGTCGTAATCTTGAAGCTCACTCGTGGTCGGAAACTCGCCGTCGACTACCCGGAATAAGTCCCATTTCTCTCCTTCTTCGCCGAAGGCGGCGAGAAAGACATTGAAGTACCCGCCATAGACCTTCTTGACATAGTCTGAGTCTCTTGCTGCTAGTAGCAGAGCATACCTCTTTTCTTCATTAAGCTTCATGATTGGATGAAGAGAGTTTGTGAAAGTGAAAGTTTTGGCTCAGAAACAGAGATTGTGATCAGACAGAGACGAATGGAATGAAGGGTTTGGAGAGAGAATGGTGTTACTGTTTTTTTTTTATAGTAGGAAAGAGAGACGAGTTCAGTCGGGTTATAGAAATTGGGAAGTTTCCATGGCTGCGTCACAGGTAGCTTAACTGAGGGAGTCGCAGCCTTGACCTAGCGCAGTGGACACCGCGTCGAGGTATAAGAAAATTGGCATAGTGGAATTGATAAAATAAACTAAACATTTATTCTAATACCCACATGAGATTCAAAAATATTAATAAATTAGCATACGCGTAGTCGTGTATCTCACACAATGACAGCCGGCTGCAAACAGTAATATAATTTGATGATTCCGTGGGAAGTACCAGTAAATATTTGTTACGACGGTCATAAAGCGTTTTAATTTAATATGAGTCCTTAATACACCATAGAATACAATAATCATACGATTTCTTTATAATACACCATGTAAAATAAGTGACTCTCACTATTTTAATGTTAACGTTAATCAATATTTTAAGTATTAAAAATTATTACTGGATCTTACTGACTGACGTTAGATTTTTGACAAAAAATTTTGAAGCTTGATCTAAAGTTTAATTTGACCTTGTTTGATTTGACATTGGTTTGCGTTTTTGGGTGATGGACACATGGGAGATTACATTATTTAGTATTACTCTTTCCGTTTTTAAATATATATCGTTTAAAGTTTTTGTATAAAGATTAAAGAAGTTATTAAATAGTTCTAATATGAGTAAAAAAAAATTACACAAGACTAAAATACCCTTATTCAATACGTATTAGAAAGGAAATGAAAGGAATATGAAAGACGCTTAGTTTTCACCGAATCTAATGCATTGAAAAGTTAAGGATAGATTTGGAAAAAAAAATATTAATTATACTTTAATTTCATTAAATAACAAATATTATGAAATAAAAAAAATTATATAAAACGACAGATATTTTTTTTTAATTTAATTTATTTCAGCGCAACACGACTGGAACCCAATTTGTTAAGCACAGTAATCAATAATGTTGTAAGAGAAGCCGCGTAGTTCACTTTTGGTCCGCCCATTGAAGAAGAAGGCCCTTCGGTCGTAGCTCTTGCAATTTTCTTTGATACACCTTCGTTGACATTTTTCAATATTAAGTCCAATTTTCACAAGACGTTCATACATCAACGTCATACCACCATGATAGACAAATGGCGAAGGTAAAGGTTTCAACTCGTGTTGTATCATTCGTGTATAATTATTTTTTTAATTATATCATTGTAATTTATATTAATATCAATAAAATTTTTTATTTAATATGTTATAAATGTTAAATATTAATTTAATATTTTTGTTATGCATAATTTTCAATTATGTCATAACGAATTCTTCAATTCATGAAAATGAATCAAATTAATACCCCTAGTCCAAGGTATAATAACAACGCTGTTGAGGTTGGCTGCGCGGGGACATCGAATTGGAGTAACTAGGAGGGGTTAAGGTTCATTGCTCAGCCTCAAGTATCGGGGAAGAAAAAAAACAGATTGACTCCTCCACCACCACTAAAAAAAATTTAGGATTAATTATAAAATTTGTCGTATTTTGTTTTGTAATATTTTAATTGCATCATTTTGATTTCTGAAGTATTGAATATGTTTTTATGTGGTCTCTCAAGCAGACAACGTCTAAATTGTTAATAATTTTTTATTATAAACTTGTCACGTTATACTTAAATATGAATACAAAAATAATTGGATAACTCTTAACCAAATTTTAGTCAAAGAATTACCTAAATTATACTGTTTTGATAATGAATTATTAAAATTTTGGTCAAGATCTACCCATATTACACATTTTTTTGTCAAGAGCTAACCAAATTTTAGTTCAAAACTACACAAATTATATTTTTGTCCATATTTAAGTATTACGTGATAAGTTTATGATAAAAAAATCATTAACAATTTGAATGTTATCCGCTTGAAAGACTATATAAAAACATATTCAATAATTCAAAGATTAAAATGATACAATTGAAACATTAAATACCAAAATGAGACAAACTTAAAACTTTGGGAACTTGTAGTGTAGTTAACTCAAAAATCTATCTAATAACAAAACCAGAACTTTGAATTTTATTCTTATTTTTTTTTCACTTGTTCCAATCACATCACCCAAGTTAAATTATTAAATTTTTGATTAATTTGTGACTCAATACAATTTTTATTTTCTACTATAATATGTTGATATTTATTTTGAGATCATTTATTTTTTTGTTAATTTTATTTTAAAAAATAATGATTATAAATTAATTTTAATTTATGTAATTAAAAAAAGAAAAAAATTAATTTGATATAACTCAATTAATTTTTTAATGTTCAAATTTTATATTTTACCTTATTTTCAAGCATAGATTATAACTTGTGATTCAATACCCTACATGAGCAATAAATACCCCTATCGTTTTATTTGTCCGAGGAGTTGTCCCCTTGATTACCACGTCATCGGCTTGGGTTTGAACTCCTCATCATTAAAATATTTATTGTGTTAAAATATAAGCGTACGATTAAAATATTTCGTCCGTTCTTAAATATTTGCACAGTGAATAAAAAAGTTATTAAATAACTCTAATATGAGTAAAAAATAATTACACAAGACTAAAATATATTTATTCAATACGTATTGGGAAGGAAATGAATATGAAAAACACTTAGCCTCCACCTAATCTAATGCATTGAAAAATTAAGAAAAAATTTAGAAGAAAAAATATTAATTATACTTTGATTTTATTAAACGGCAGATATTTAAAAATTGAGGGAGTATTTATTATACTTAAAATTTAAATATAAAAATGTAATTAAAATATTTATTTATTATATACATGTTAAAGGGGCCCATTTTAGCTTTCGACTGCTTCTCAATCTTCCTTTGGTAGGAATAAAAAATTTGGTGATCAAAGTCAATTTAAAGGATTGTTGTGTTTACTCATTGCTATGTTATACGAGCAGGGCACATGGCTATTGTGATGTGATGCCATGTAACATGGAAGTGTCGCGGGACAACTTTTTCTGTATGTTGACTCTACAAAAAAAAAAGCACTCAAAACTTAAAAAAGGACAGAAATACAGATGCGCACACACAAAAAGCTCAAAAAAAAATACACCCCAACTTTATATTAGATAAGGAACTTGCAATTCCTGACCAAATACTATCTTTGTCTATTGAGGGTTCTGGCGTTCTCTATTTATACAAGAAAGATTACAGTAGCTAAATTGTTAAATTTATCATTTAATAAATTTACCACTAGCAGTAGTTGTTATACGTCAGCACTTTGCTTGGTAACCACTCTCAACTACTAGTTCTAGTTCATGATCAAGTCATGCCTAGTAACCGTCCACAATGACTTTCCATGATCAAGGTCACGTATAACAACCGCTTTTTCCCGCCACTTGTCTTAATCCAACCAAGCATGTTAAGTTAAGCCCAAATCATAATCATATACCAAGATTGTCTCAATTGTGTCTATCATCGCTGTCATCCTTAACCGAGCGTCGACTTTTATGCTTTTGGTCCCACAACTTTTTTTGATCCCACAAATATCTCGAGTTCTCTTTCCCTAAACCCATCATGACGAAGTGCTTTGTTTGCGTGCCTTGCCCAAACAAGCTGAGGCTTGGGAATACGGGTGTTTACCCACGGTAGAAAATATAATATTTTATTTTTTTATCTGATATGAAGAATTTTTTTTTTGATTTACCCTATCTAATCAGGTGTGATATTTTTATCAAACTCCTTACCCGATTAATTAGGTAAGAAATCAGATAAATATTTTTGTAATTATTAATTTTTGAATCATTTTTAACAATTCAATTAAATAATATGCACTAATTTAATAATGCAGTAAATCAATAATACTAAAATATAAAATAACTACAATAACAATTACAAGAAAACATGAATATCAATCCATCATAATTGTTATACAAATACAATAACAATTATTTTAAGTTTAAACCATATGAAACACATTAAAATCATAACTGGTCAAATAGATCATCAGTTCACCATAAATCATGAAACCCACAAAAAAAATAAATCTATATTTTAGCAACTCAAACATTCACAACAATAACAATGTTATAATATAAATTGTATCACACAAATACTCTTATAATTAATAAAAAATATATAAAAAAAATTAAATATATTTTTTGAGGGTAAGGTAGGGTAAGAATGCAGAAATTGATGAATTTTTCGCATTCTTACCCGATTTAATCGGAAGACTAAAAACTCTTACGTATTTCTATCCGATTTTTGCAGTTAAGTATTTAGTAGAGCAGGATATGGTAGGAAATTACGATCAATCAAAAATTGAGAGCACAACACTTGTCGAGACTTTAGTGCCCTAAGCTATCATCACATTCCTATATATGTTCTTAGAAAGATTTTCAAATGACAAGAATATAGACATTAATTGAATCGAAAAATCACGGTGACTGGAGGCCTTAAGTTGAACACCTTAACTACTTCACAGTGCTTCAAAGTTATGGAATGTCTTGGCACAAAGTGCCCCCAAGACACATCAATTCCACCCAACGCAATTACGGGCCTCCCAATTATCATCACCTCCCTATATATGTTTTTAGAAAGATTTTCAAATGACAAGAATAGGCATTAATTGAGCCGAAAAATCAGGATGACTGGGGCCTTAAGTTGAACACTTTAACTACTTCACATTGCTTCACAGCTGTGGAATGTCTCGGCACAAAGTACCCCCAAGACACATCAATTTCCACCCAACGCAATTGTAGTTCTTTGAGACCATCTCTAATAGAGATCTATATTTTTACTCAAATTTGAGTTAAAAAAAAAAAGGGTAAAAAATTTGATTTATTACAAACCCATTTGATGGAGAAATCCAAATTTAAAGGAAGGGAAATCCAAATTCAAATGAAGACAAATTCAAATTTAAATGAGAGTAAAATATGATTATTGCATCTTTAAATAAGAGTGAAATTTTACCATTAAAGATTTGAATATAGATTTGAGTCTCCCTTAATTTTATATGTGTATGAAATTTAGCATTAAAAAAGATATTTTAGAATTTTTTATTCAAATTTAAATTTAAATTTTTTTAAAAAAAGTAAGGATCGGAGGTACTATGACAGAAGGAATGGGCTTGAAGTACTTAATGCCTATGTTCCCCACATAGAAGCCCAAAAAAACAAAGTATAGAAATTAAATTTGGGCTTATGTTTGGCATTGGTTGGGGTTGGGCCTTTTTATTTTTTCTTTCTTTTTTATTATCGGTATTGTTTGCTAGTTCTTTTGGTGCAGTTGTTCTTTTGGGTCGAGAGATTTTTGTTCTTTTTTGGAATACTCAATTAAATTATGTATTAGATTCCAATAATAATCTTATTTCTCATTTATATTACCAGTCATTTTTACTGTTCAAATAGGAAAATCGATGAATTTCAGAATGCAATTTTTATTTTCTGCAAATAATATTTTTCTCTCACCCCAATTATAATAATTCTTCAAAAAAAAAAAAAACATAGATATTTGGAAAGGAGTGTAAATAAATAGTTTTATGACTTTATGGAGGCTTGATAGCACGTATGATCAGTACAGTGGTCATAATGTGTATTATTACACTGAGGACATGCCCAGCTAGATCCTCGTGGTACACGACTGTTACGCTGTCGTCTAACCAATACTCCGCGTGGGTGATGCAATCCCTCCCTCATCACCTCATATTATCCTTTCATTTTTTTTTAAATATTAATTATATACTCTTCCCCTATCATTTTTTTTTTTAATTTTACATATCTTCTGACGCGACTTGAATACGGCAGCGAAGAACAATTTTTGATATTGGACTTCTAAATTTTATTATTTTGATAAATATTTTTACAATTTTTGTTAGTTATTTTATAATTAAAAAATTTATTATTTTTATAAATAATTGATCATATTTATAAGTATTTTTATTACTGTTGTGACAACTATTTTTACTATATTTTTTAATTATAAAAAAAATTATTTTTTGTGAGTGATTTTTCATATTTGTGAGTGTTTTTACTATTATAATGGTAATTATTTTTTATTAATTTTTTTTGATACTATAAGATTAATAAAAATACCTATAACTATAATAAAATTATAAAAATATTCATAAATATTATAAAAATCAATACGCTAACTAAATTTTGTTTTTGCTACATAAACCACTCTTTTGAGTTTTGATAGCACATGTGAGCTTTCCTCAGGGGATGTGACCCCTCCAGCCAAATCAATGATCCCAAGTTATTCTTTAACTTTGTTTTTCTTCCCTATCCTTCGTTTTAGTTTATTTTACATATTATTGTTGCTCTAATTAAAAAAAAATTGAAAAATACCTTTTAATAAAAAAAACACACACTTTAAAATTACCCATATTTTTATAAAAACAATCATAAATTTAAAATATGATTTAGAAAGAAAATAAAGTTAAAAAATTACGATAATTCAATAAAAAAAAACTACATAAAGCCCACGTTACAAAGATTTGCCAAACCCTGCCTTTCTCATCAAGATCACAAAACTGGTCTTACTCCCTGTGATTTTTTTTTTTATTATTATTATTATTATGGGGTGTTTAGGTTTGCGGTTATTATTTCTTTAAACTCAATAATAGCCACTATGACATGAGTTGAGATAGATAATGTTTTTAAAGAATAAGAGTGACTAGTTTAAGGGGTATGAAAATGAATTAAACTTAAAACATTTGATTTATCAAATGCTAGACTCAACAAATAAACCATGATTTCTGCCCATAAATCTATTTGAAAAGAAACTAGTTTTATTCCCAACACTTAACTAATTTTCTTTTTTCCTTAAATTTTTGGCAATTGCCTTTCAGGGCTTAAAAGAGAAGTAAATTTCATTCCTCCAACCGAAATTCCACAAAGCAACCGTTTTTTTCTCGTAGCCTACGGTTTAGGCAATATAAAAAGTCCTCAAAAAAGGCGTATGGTTCAAGGTATCATCAATCATGACTACTCTTTTAGGCAGTGAGAACGTTGGGGTAAAGGACCTCTTGGGTTCTTGCAAAATTTCTGATATTTCATAGGAATTTTAGGGAATGGCCTTCGCGAGTTTTGTTATTTTCTAAGGAAACTCGAATTCTTTTAGCAATTCCTGGGACTTACGATAGCAGTTCTTTAGTGGCTTTCGGTTCTATTTATGGTTTAAGAACAAGTCCCATTTGTTGTTCTTTTGAATGATTTCTATTTGCTATGGTATAATATTCTCTGATGGTTACTGGTTTTTTCTCTGCGAAATTGAAAGATTCTTAGAACAATTTCAAGGAGGATCAGTTTCTTGAGTTGGGTGTGATTTTCCAGGAAAAGATGGCATTTTTTAGTGGGTTATGTATTGGTTTGAGTTTTCTCTTTGGTTGCATCCTCTTGGGCCTTGTTGCAGAACTTTACTATTTGTTGTGGTGGAAGAAAAGAATCACCAACACAGAGGCTGAAAATCACCATACCAACCACCCCACTGGGCTTTTCTCTCTCTTCTGCTTTAAAAAACCTGAGCCCGAGTCTGTGAAGAGCAATACCACCGAGGAACTCAACAGTTCTTCTGTGAACCCTGATGCCAATGCCCACGAAAAAGACCTAGAGTTAGGGACAGGCAAGGATTTGCTGCTGAAAGGCTGTGGTGAAGAAAGTGTAGAGTCAGAGCTCATGCGGCTGCACAATCTCTGTGGGCCACCACGATTTCTCTTCACAATCAATGAGGAAACTAAAGAGGATTTGGAGTCGGATGATGGCAAATCAAGAGGTGATAGAAGCAGAAAAGGGTCAAGAACAAGAAGCTTGAGTGATCTTATCATTGCTCTTGATACTCCTTTTCTTACCCCTATGTCTTCACCAACCTTCATGGCTCACACTTTGGATTCTTATAACCACCAAGGATTCAATTTCAATCCTCTCTTTGAATCATCAACAGAGGCAGAGATGAATAGGTTGAGATCTTCACCCCCTCCAAAATTTAAGTTCCTTAGAGATGCTGAGGAGAAGCTGTTAAGAAGATTAATGGAGGAGGCTGAAAAAAGGGCCCTAAAGAATGGTGGGTCTGTTAAGGAGTCTGTCCTTAAAGCTTCTCCAAATTCAGCAGAGGTTACAGAAGAGAATAAAGTAAGAGAGCTTCATCACCCACCACCACTGTATCGTTCAACTCCTTCACAGGTACTTCCATTGGCTTCTTCTCCTTCAACATTCAGACCACTTGACAACAAATCCACTGTGCAATAGTTCCCAAGTATTGACATGAAATAGCTTGATCTCTCTTTTTTTCTTCTTTTATTTTTTCTGTGAATTGAATTGACAAACAATACTTCTATGTTTTAATTTCTCTTTTCCATATAGAGAATAGATGTTTGTTTTACAACTTTTGTTGTTTGGGGAAATTAGCTTTTAACCATTTTAATTAGCAACTTTTTTGTGCATGGTATCTTGAGTATTGATGTCTTACTGACATTTTCTGCAACCTGAGGCAATGATGTTACTCAATTCTAGTGGGAAATCTGTGGGCTAATCTGTTCTTGTTTTAAGTTCCCTTTTGCGCTGTCTTGAACTGGTAATTATTTCTATGCATGATGGTGTTGCCATTACTGAGGGCACGATAGTTCTGTTTTCTTTCTTAATCTCAATGATTCTCTCTCTTGACTCAATTTCAGTTTATTTTCTGATCCTTAGTAATAAAATCTACTTCTATCAATACTATATTTTATTGGTCTATGTCCCTATTTCGTGCACCTTATACTTGATGTATTTGGAGCTTTAGATGATTAGCCTTCAAATGGTCCATGGTCAGTATTATCTGGAAGTTTTCGATAGTGCTTTCTGATGTATTAAACTTAATCCTTTTGAATTTAAACAAAAAATGCTGTTTTAAATTAGAGGTGTCAAAATATGACACGAAATTAGAAGGTATGTGACAAAAAATTAGAAAGTTTGAGTCTTCCTTAAGGCACGATTTGTTTATATACCGGTTAAACATAATTAATACACGACACGAATATGATATAACTCGACTTGTTTGACACGAATTAATAAACGAATAAGATTTAAGTGAAATATTTACAAACCCGTTTTACCCTACACGATTGACATACCTGCTTTATAAAGCTCGGATCTTTAACAACTAGTGAATGCTCACCTGCCCTCAATGCGTCGCGGTTTTAACTGTAGGTTTCAATCTTCCCAAAATGAAGTGAAGTTTTTACCGTTTAATTTTTTCAAAATTTTCCAGTTCTCTTATTCTGCTATATAATTTCGTGGACAAAACACCATACACCAAACATGCATTTGTGCCCTTTTGTAAGTCTTACACTAGGTGGCGTGTACAGCATAAGTTATTCTAATCCCCTTTTGGAATCTTTTATTTTGAAATGGTAACGATGCATGCGCGCACACACATACACACGTGTAAACAACTCTGAATTTTTTTTAAAGAAAAACTAACAATGAAGAGATTCCATGAATAAAGCTACTCTTCCTTTCCTCCTATTTTAACATATTCATGAAGAAGAATACTCATTTTTCCTCCAAAAGTATGTTATTGCACAAAGGAAAAGGCAATAATAACTTTCAAGAGGGGGAATCTGAGGAGCGTAGGCCAAATTGTATTGCCTTTAAAGTAGTCTGATTTAACCAAAAAGAAGAAAATAAGAAAGAAAAGGTAACAAAGTTGAAGCACTTAAGTTTTGTGAGGTTTGAAAGTACTTTGAGCTTTTACCTAAACAACAAGAAATGTCATTGTTATCACGCGATTTGCCCAAAAGTTGTCCCACCTTGACCTATCACTTATCATTTTATTATACAATCTTACGAAAATTTTGAAAATCATTAATTTATACATATTGGTATGGTTAAGCTACTTAAAATTCGAAGAAGGAAGCTGCTTTTGAAGTATAAATTGTGGGTATTGATCTCTATCTTATATTGAGTTAAGATTGTGGGTACTTGAATTTCAAACGTCAAAGTAGTTCAAGTGGTAGGAGAGACGAGCTGTAAATACAGACATTATGAATTTGAATATTGACGATTCCTTGGGGGCCAGACCATAAATGATTTATACCTTATAAATATTTTAATTTCAGTATGGATAGTCTGTTTTTGACTAGACTGAGACGAGAATTAATCGAAAAGCACGTAAATTGATAAAGATACCCTGACTGTTGATTAAAAAAAAAAACTTAAATCTCAAAACTCTCAATGCGATCTCAACCATCCAGAACAGCAGTTTTGAATGTACTCTGATAGTTTACAAAACAAAAAATGTATACTTCGATAAATGGTGGAAGCTTAAACATCACATTAATTCAGGATAGGGAAGAACATGGCCTCATGTGAGACTTGAGCCGGGGACAAGACCCAAGAGGGGGTGGGTGGATGGGGCCCATCACAATAACCAAATAACAGATTCTAGATGGCAATCAGACAGTGACCCCCCATTTGTTCTTTCCTCCACAAATTGCAATCTTGCTGGATTTTAAATTTTGAATTTACAATCTGGAAAAGCCCCAAACTGACACTGTTTGTCTTATGAGGTCATGACAACCTATTGTAGGGAAAAATGAGGATTTGGACCAGTTCATTTTGAACGTTGCTAGACTCAGTTGGCAATTTCTACAAGTTCGGCAGAGATTGAAGCAAACCTGACATTAGAAACTTATATAAGATGCAAATACCTTTCGGTTTATTTTTCTTAATTTTTTTAAAACTAGATAATTGCCGCGTCCTAGAGAAAAATTCACTTATGTATAATAGATTTCACTTGATTTTATAACATGTGATTTATTATTGAAAAAAATTGAAAAAAAAATTAATTGGGTGATTCAAACCTTGTATGGGACTTACAAGCATCCGCCAAGTTGCTTTCATGTTATAACATGAGGATCCCGATCCCCAACATTACGCATTTTTTGAATTTTCTATAGTATATTTTGTACAGTTGATTTCTTATAATAGTTTGAGATAGTGATTCTTGAATGAGTTTAGATGAGATTCTTAAAACAAAAAATGGAGTCAAAAAGGGAATATACCTAGCTTATTCCCTGCAATGTTTAAGTCGGTCGATACTCAAGATTGAGAGGATAGATGTAGAGTGCTAGGATAGTTCATCTTGCGTATATGTGCTTTGTTTCATTGGTATATTTATACTTTCAAATATGATAATATGGTAGCCACGTTAGTACTCACTACCTAGTCTTAGCAACCTAGTGTCATCTGTTCGCAATAAGTGCATCCTGTTATGTCTCATTAATGCCTGGCAATGAGACACAATTATACATAAATGCTCGGGAAACCGAACAATTCTGGCTTCCAGCCCCCTTAAACACCAGTTCATCCCAAATATCAACTGCTCTGCGTTAAATACTTGCAACCCAATGTTAAGCATTTATGGATTCACTTCGAGCACTCAATTTGATACCTCCGAAGGTTCTTCAGAACCTGCAAGGGCAATACATCTATCTTTTCGACGATTTGACATAAGTTTTGAGTTAATGTGACAATAATGATTTCATGTCACATTAGCACTCTATACGAGACATATTTCATAATGACAATTAATCGTCGAGATTAACCGTGTACATGTTCGTTCCCTTGTGGGTCATATTCACTCGATTTAGGGGATACCCGTTATACGATGTCGGTTTATAGAAATTCAGGAGACACATCTGCTAACTGCAATATGTCACATGTTGATTTGTGACTGACGAGTCACCCACTTCCCATCATATATATGGAGATCTACTAATGCATAATCGAACTCACTTGACCACATAATGTGTCTGATTTACCATTGAATAAACTGAGATAAAATACGTTCTAGAGAATCTAAATCCATTACACAAGATTGTTCTTGCAAAATTGTGTGTTTGGGAGGGCGGGGACAGAAACTGAATAAAAAAGGTGATCAACCAAGAGTGGAAAGCAAAACTAATCCATACTTTGTGGGATGAACTTTATAGAGTATCTTCAACATCAATTGGAAAATTAAAAGGCTTAAAAGAAATTTTCGAAAGCTCAAGTACCAATTGCACAATATATTTGAATTTGTTGAAAACCCACAAAGATAATACAGATTTTTTTGGGTTCTGACAAATTCTAGCAGTTGTTGGGACCGTTTGAATTAAGATGATTTTGAACATTGTTAGTCATTTGGGAGTGTTCTTCGAGAGTGGGAAAATTTTCAAATAGAGAAAATGGGGGAAGGAGACCACTGAAGTCAGACCAACTCTCATGCTGAATCCTAAAGTTGTGCAATAATGCGAAAAGAGTGTCTCCAGTTTTTCTAAAATACAATAACGATTCAAATTAATGAATTATCTTACGACTTATATTTTAATTATAGTAAATATGTCTATCTGTACTTTAACTTTTTAATCATAATAAATATTTTAAATGATACTTACTTAATGATGCCTACTTTTTAATTACAACAAATATTTTAATTACTCACTTAAGCACGAAATACTCTAATGCTTCGTTTGATACGACGAAAAAAATAAAAGGATGAAAAATTGGAGGAATAGATAAAACATTATTTTTGGTAATGAATGATAGAAAAGTGAATGGATTAACTTTCCTTCCAACTTGCAAAAATAAATTCCTCTAAAATTGGGAGGAAAAGTGGATAGAAAATTAATCTATATATTATTTGAAATCTATATAATAAAATACATAGGAAGTTGAATTTTATCTCCTATACATTTTCTCCCCCTAAAATCATCACATCACTCATTTCTCTCACATATTTAATCATTTAATATTTAATTTATAGTTTAACATAATTTTTATTTCAGACATTATCTATACACGACACATATGTTGAAAAAATTTTATCGAATACTATATTTTGAGAAAATTTTTTCAATATTTTTAAGAAAAATAATGGGTAAAAATAAATTTTGAATGATGTAATCAAATAAATAAAGAAAATAAAAATTATTATTTAATATATTAAGATTAATTTTTTGGAGACTTAAATTTTATATTCTATCGTACCTTCATGCATGAGTTATGACTGTATACATATGTATTATGTTTAGGTTTAATCTCATTTTACACCCTGAAAGATAGTTCGAATCTCAATTTGCACCCTCAAAGAGTAAAAATCTCAATTTACACCCTCAAAGATAGAAATTTGTATCAATGTGCACCCCCAAAGATCAAAAATCTCAATTTTCACCCTCAAAGATAGAAATTTGTATCAATGTGCACCCCCAAAGATCAAAATCTCAATTTGCACCCTCAAAGATAGAAATTTATATCAATGTGCACCCCAAAGATAAAAAATCTCAATTTGCACTCTCAAATATAAAAATTTGTATTATTATGCACCTAAAACTAAATTGATAAATTATACCTAGATCCCCTCATGTTTGTCACTTAATCATTTGGACCTCTTTACATTTAGAATATTACTCCTACATCTCATGACATTTATGCACGTACAACATGTAACTCATTTTCATTGATATCTATTAATATAACCGTTAAAAAATATAATTTTATCCTAATAAAAAATTATAATTTCATATTACCCTTATTTTATGGGTCCAATATACTCTAAAATTCAAAATCAAACTTACCATTTGAATGTCTAATAAAATGTAGATATTTATATAATGTTTTTCATATTTTCCTTTTTATAAATATCTACATTCTATTAGACATTCAAATGGTAAGCTTGATTTTGAACTTTAGAGTATATTGAATCCACAAAATAAAGAGTAATATGAAATTATAATTTTTTATTAGGATAAAATTATATTTTTTAACGATTATATTAATAGATATCAACGAAAAGTGGTTATGTTTACACATGTACAAACGTCATGAGATGTAGGGGTAATATTCTAAATGTGAAGGGGTTCAAATGATTAAGTGACAAACATGAGGGGATCTAGATATAATTTATCAATTTAGTTTTAGGTGTACATTGATACAGATTTCTATCTTTGAGGGTGCAAATTGAGATTTTTGATCTTTGGGGGTGTACATTGATACAAATTTCTATCTTTGAGGGTGTAAATTGAGATTTTTAATCTTTGGGGGTGTAAATTGAGATTCGAACGATCTTTCAGGGTGCAAAATGAGATTAACCCTTATGTTTATTAATGTGTATACATTAATTTCATATATAAATATAATAGTAAAATAAGTATTTATATTTTTAAAAAAAAAAAAAAAAAAAACTTTTTCCATATTAGCGGACACAAAAAAGTCAATCATTTCTAATTTCCATTCCATCCACCCTACTAAACGGACCATAATTGTATGATATATGTCTATATAATGGTCGGGTATATGTATGAAAAGATTTTAACTATTAATATCTCAAAATTATAAGTTTAAGGTATGTGTGTAATCACGCAGATTTAAACTTTATATCCTAATCACTAATGTGACAAAAACAGTTTTTGTTGGGATAAAAAAAGACAACAGGGTCCATTTCTGTCATATTTTTATGTTGAAGACATCCAAAGGTAAGAGACTTTATATATGTTTTACAGCCTGACAACTAGAGAAAGAGTCAATCAAGTCTTTGTATCTTATAATTTTGTGGTAAAATCCAACGAACCATTGGAGTGAATCATGAAGAATGATACGATCTGATTGTTTGAATGTGAAAGCACCTGCAATCTTGGTGTATTAGTGTAGAAAAATGTGAAGGAAAAAGTGGTCTATATTGTTTGCCAGTTGGGAGTGGGCTGGACTATAACTTAAATGAGGTTAACCAATCTTTTGGAGAAATGAGACCACAGCCAGCTTGCTTTGTTGAAAAATTAGCTACAGAGGGATGGGTTCTTTGACAAACCTGGTTTCAATGTGATAAAAATCTACTGGCATGTTTGGAAACAAAAATTTCATAAGAAATGTCCAGAAAGAGCCACTAATTTCCACCACATGCTGTACCTTTTGCCCCCCCCCCCCCCCTTTTTTCTATGTCAACTCTAGTTTGAACAACACTTTCTTGCGATGCTAAGTTTCAATTTTACGAGCGCGTGCTTTCTCTTTAGTTTTTTTTTTTTGCTAGTTCAACGATTAGAGATAATCAAATCAGCATGAGAGGATGTTTTCAAATTGAGCCAAACATTAATCGATGATTAAAATTATTTTGATTAGAGTATGATGCTAACAAATATTCGTTGCGTAATTCACGTGGTTTCGAGACATGACAATAGAATCTCAAAAAGTAGTTCAAGTTATAATAAGAATGAATTGTGAACTCAAATATTTTGAATTCGAATATTGAGAACTTTTTAAAGTTAGGCCATGAAAGATTTATTCTTTATGAATTCCTTAGTCCTAACGTGGATGACATGTTTTTGATTGAATTGAAGAGGAGATTAGTTGAGGTACGTGTAAGTTGATCTTAATACCCTTAACCATTAAACCATTAAACCAAAAAAAAAAACATGACAACAGGTCTCATTGTGCGGCAATATTGAGTCGAATGTCATTTAACAAAATTGGACACAGCTTCAGAGGATTCAAACTCCACCTCCAAGAGGAATGGTAATGAAATCAAACATTCTGTTCAAAAGAAAAAAAGAAAGTGAAACGCTGAGGCGCCGGATTGATTCTTTGGGCTTCAATGGTATTGGATAGGTTGGATGGAGTTTGGACCCAAGGTCCAAATCCTCATCACTTGTTCATGTTGCAAAACTTTAATCTACCCATGGACATCAGGCCCATTTCTGATGGATATGAGTTTAGGTCTTGTTTGGCAACCTCTTTTGTCACTGTCAAGCCATTGCTTGTAAGTTCAATTTCAATCTCTCGCAGGTATGCCTCTCTCTCTCTCTACTCATACAAACTCTTCGAATTTGGAGTCGGGAGGTGTGAAATTTAGGTTGAGAGAGAGAGATGAAGAGAGTTGCATTTTTACAGACTGTTTGAAACGGTTTTATACTCTTATGAATTTGGTTTGGATGGTCAGATTGATCGTTGGTTAGTCCGAGGGCTCTGTTTGGCCTCTTGTCTTCAGAAATCGGTTTTCTATTTTGTGTGTAAATAACTTGAAAAATCGGTTTTCACTAGGTTGTTTTTTGGGTAAATTATTGTAGGTGGTTTATGGTTTTAAATTTTTGGTGTTTCCAGCTACAATATAATTAATTTATACTCTCACGAATTCGTTTGTTGGAGAAACAATTGATTTTCAGGAAAGTAGCAAAAAATTGATTTAACAATCGGTTTATATGTAACTTTGTATATGTATTCATGGAGTTTAGTTGACGCTTAAAGAGAAATCTGCTTTTTCACACCCAATCTAAATAGAATGTTGATTTGGTTTGTATTTTGGATGATTTATTTTGTCATTTTCCATTTTTTAGGTCGAGACTGAATCTTTTGGTTTCTGGCAGTGTCCATTAGCGGAGAATTATAAGTGTGTGGAAGGTATGTAATTTAACTTGTCAGAATGTTGGAATTATGATGCCTTTCTGTTGTATTGGTAAATTTGAATCCAATTTTCTGTTTGGAAAAAATATTGCAAAATCTAATTCAAATCGATTCCTTTCATATACATATAGTTTTTTGAGGTTACCCATAATGCTTTACTCGCTTAGCTAAATTACTAAAATTCATATATGGGTATTGTTTATAGCTTGAAAAAAGTTTGTTCTGCTTGGTGGCTTAGCTAAAATTCATGAAATGGTTCACGGAGATCCATTCAATTCTACCAACAATAGTGCTTAGGACATCTTATCTTTGTTATTCAACAAAGAGGTTCCTAGTTGTGTTGGAGTTCATAAAAGCCATTTATCAAGCTAAGTGGTGGTTAGGAATTCTTGTACACTATAACAGGCATCAATTTTTCATTCTACTCCTATCATCACATTTCCTCGAGAACAGTAGCTAAACTCCCATTTCATACGATGAAGAGCGAGTAAATTCATCATTAGGAGCTAAAAAAGATTCCTAGTCATTTTCACCCGTTGTCCAATAATTAAAGTGGCAGATGTGCCAAAAAAGTACGAGGCACCTTTCCTGCTGGTCATTTGAACACATCATACAAGTCTTTCGTTTCGATTCATGGATTTTCCCATTTGATCGTAATGCAATGCATGATTTACTTGGAGTTTGTGTAGCTAGCAATGTCAGCAACCATAATCATGTGCCTTATTTCATATTGTGAAGGTGGGGTACTTCCATCTAAGAGTATTTCTGGTCAACCGACCTGCTAACATATTTCAATTAACCTCTTCGCCGGCTCCAATAGGACAGTATGGCTTAGTTTGCTGTTACACTTGGATGACAAATCTGCCCTATGTTTCAGTTAATACACATCTTCAATTGCGTTAGGCTAATGTCAAGGTAGGATATGCTTAGGGATGTGGTGGGTTGGTATATTTGAACTTGTCAAGGTGGATGCATTCAATAATTAGAACAAGGTATTATTTTGCGAATAGAAAATTACAAGGTATTACTTTAAGTGAATAATTGATCTAATTTTTTGGTGTTTTACATAAAAAGGGACAATTTGTTACAGTCACTATATTGTTTCTGGTGTTAGTACCAAATGAGGTCCTGTGTGGTTCTTCTTATGCATCTGTTTGTACAACAAAAAGTACTCTCCCCTCTAAGATGTACAATTACCTCTGCTGTTGTTCAAAGTAGAGATGATTTTGGGTGTGTGTGTGTTTGCACTTCATATGCTTTGCTTCTCTTAAATGTAGGCAGATTACCACCTTCATTTACCGTCTTTATTTTGTTGTCCATCGTATATTTCATGCACTATGTTATATTAATCTCAAATCAGATAGAACAGCATCTGTTTATATTAATCCCTCATTTAGCCAGTCTTGCATGTATGTCACTATATCCAGAAAATCATAATCAAGTGGTGGATTGACATTTGCACTTGCTTGCACCATCTATATCTTCACTTGATCCACTCCAGCCAATGAGGATTAAATTGGGTAATGAACTTGACTGCTTTAGCTAAATAAGATTAACAGGAATTCCTTTTGTCCTTGCCTTGATAGCCAAGTCCATAGCCTTGGCTATTAAGCATAGTTGTAATTTTCTAAGGCCTGAGTTGTGTATAATTTTGTTTAGCTCTAGACCTTGAACTTCTCCAGCGAAATTAGTTAGAGGCTTGAAATAGTGTTAGCACTTGGACACACGTATATATCTAAAATAAAATAGATACTTTCTCTTTCTTTTTTTCTTTTTGTTTTTTTGATAAGAAATATGAATTGGAAGTACTACCTCGGGACTTTCGTGCTACAGAACTTGGATTTCTTCTTGAAAAATCAGTACCTAGAAGCACATCTCCAAATGGAAAAGTTTCTTTTATGCTACGTCAATTCTATCCTTGTACAGTTCTTCCCCCCACCCCCAACACAAAAAATGAACCCATCTATTCTTACTGGAAGGATATCTTACAATTGTTTTGGCCAACTAAAAGAGATGATGAAAATGAATTTGCATCTTGAGGTTAGTTTGCTTCTCATTGTTGTATTGTTGACATATCAGAGGAGGAAAAATAAAAAAATAAAACAAAGTTCAAGCCCTTAACATTTGACAATATTAAAGTACTCTGCAACTGCTGCTTCCTTGCAGGTGTGGTGAGTTAAAATTAGAGGATGTGACTTAGACATTGCGTACATGCTATCAGTGTTATTCATATTATTGTTCTTTGTATACCTTTGATGTATGGATTCATTTCTCCTGATGTCCATAGGGTGCTAATGTTCTATCATTGCTGCTGTTGTTCTTAACAATTTCTTGCTTTTACATTTGTAGTTTGAACTAGGAAAGAATGGGTCGGAAAGCTGGTAGTCTCCATATAAACCCAAAGAAATTCGGTAGTCTTAGTAAACCCTGCATGAAGGAAACGATAAATTTCCTTAATTGTTTAGCTCTTAACCACAACAATGATGAGAAATGTGTTCGGCAAAAGGAACTTTTGAGTGCCTGCACGGATGCTCAGGTGAAGATCATTGATGTTCTTGCATTAAATCCTGTGTTTGTTGCTTTATATTGTTTACTGTTACTCTTACTTTGAAACCGGAAATTATTTGAATTTTAAATTACCATTGCTATTACCTTTTGCAGACCAGCAAAAGTCGGAAGCCTTGGGGAAGTATTAATTATCATCTGCAGAGGCTTAACAGGGGAAGAAAGTAGTTTATTTATAGATGGAGTTGTTTGGCTCATGTACCATTTTTAAGCCTACTTTCATGGTTCAACGAGGCCAGCTTGTTTGGGGCAATTTTCAAGCTAATTAGGGAAGGAGTCTTGTCTCGTCTTATTTATGCGAGCAATTTCAAAATAATCGATGAACAGAGTTCGCTTTCCCTCAACAGATTGCGGTATGTTTTTTTCTTTATTGAACTCTTGGGGTGAGCACCAGAATTTTTGCATTCAAATTTTCAACTCTGCCCAGATGAAACATTTGTCTACAGGACTCCTCTTGCACTACAGTGCAAAGTTGCACAGAACTTTTTTCGCATTTTTTTTTTTGTCATGGCAGCAACAGGAAACTTCCTCTTTTCTCAAAAGTTTTCAGAAGATCAAGCTTGCTCCATCTAAAGGAATCCAGAAGACTCTCTCATAACCCTGGCCCAATAACTAATCCAATTTAGATCTTACTGCCATAGGTTTTCTGTTAGTTTTCTTGGTATTTGATTTATTGCAGATTGGGTGGGGAATATTTGTGTGTGTGTGTGTGTTTTTTTTTTTAACAATGACTATTTATGTGCTGTAAGAGGGTATATTGAAAGAGATTCGAATTGTAAAGGAACCACTCTAGTTCTCCCTCGGAAAATGCAGTGTTCTGTTTTTTTTTTTAACAGAGGAAATTGCAGTGCCAAGCTGCCCATGCCTCTGCCAATGCTGGATAGGAACACAACTCAGAAAGTTAATTTCAACAGATATATAAGATATGGACAGTAGCCCAATTTTAATTATCAAATAGGTCTGAGAACAACAATATATAACATAACAAAAACATAAAAGGAGCATAAAAAATCAAAACAATGGCACCAGACATAAATGTGCCATAAGGATTTGATCTACAGGATCCGATCAAACTATAGCAGGGGAACCTGAACGAAATAATAATGCCAATAGAAACCACTCCCTTAGTCAACCTCCTCAATCTTGGGGCCAGCACCACTTGCACTAGCTGAAGGAGCATCATCACCCATGGCGCCACCCATGTCAGGCCCGGCACCTTGGTACATCTTTGCAATGATAGGGTTACAGATGCTCTCAAGCTCCTTCATCTTATCCTCAAACTCGTCAGCTTCCGCAAGCTGGTTGCTATCGAGCCATGAGATGGCCTGATCAATAGCATCCTCGATCTTCTTCTTGTCATCTGGGCTGAGCTTCTCACCAATCTTTTCATCCTTCACTGTGTTCCTCATATTATAGGCATAGTTCTCCAGTGCATTCTTAGCCTCCACCTTCTTCTTGTGTTCCTCATCCTCCGCCTTGTACTTCTCTGCTTCCTGCACCATCTTCTCAATTTCCTCTTTGGATAGCCTGCCCTTGTCATTCGTGATTGTGATCTTGTTCTTCTGTCCGGTGGTCTTATCCTCAGCAGAAACATTTAAAATACCATTAGCATCAATATCAAAGCAAACCGTGATCTGAGGCACGCCCCTGGGAGCTGGAGGAATGCCAGAAAGCTCAAATTTACCCAACAGGTTGTTGTCTCTAGTTCTTGCTCTCTCACCCTCGAATACTTGAATCAATACACCAGGTTGATTATCTGAGTATGTGGAGAATACTTGCTCTTTCTTGGTGGGAATGGTGGTGTTTCTCGGGATTAAGACAGTCATGACACCTCCAGCAGTTTCTAGCCCAAGGGAGAGAGGAGTGACATCCAGAAGTAGCAAGTCCTGAACCTTCTCACTGCCCTCACCACTCAGAATGGCAGCTTGTACAGCAGCACCATAGGCAACTGCCTCATCGGGGTTGATGCTCTTGCATAGCTCCTTCCCGTTAAAGAAGTCCTGCAATAACTGCTGCACCTTGGGAATTCTAGTAGACCCCCCAACAAGAACAACATCGTGAACATTGCTTTTGTCCATCTTAGCATCTCTCAAACATTTCTCAACAGGTTCCATACACTTCCTGAAGAGATCCATATTCAGCTCTTCAAATCTGGCACGCGTGATGGTGGAGTAGAAGTCTATACCCTCAAATAAAGAATCAATTTCAATGGTGGTCTGAGCTGTGGATGAGAGAGTCCTCTTTGCCCTTTCACAAGAGGTTCTCAATCTCCTAAGAGCTCTGGGGTTACCGCTTATGTCTTTTTTATGCTTTCTCTTGAACTCTTGAACAAAGTGATTCACCATTCTGTTATCAAAATCCTCACCTCCGAGATGAGTATCTCCAGCAGTGGATTTCACCTCAAAAATACCCTCTTCAATGGTGAGGAGGGACACATCAAAAGTACCACCACCAAGATCAAAGATAAGCACATTCTTCTCACCAACACTGGAGGCTTTCTTGTCAAGACCATAAGCAATAGCAGCAGCTGTTGGCTCATTTATAATACGCATTACATTGAGACCAGAAATAACACCGGCATCTTTTGTAGCCTGACGCTGAGAATCGTTAAAGTATGCCGGAACAGTGACAACAGCATTCTTTATAGTTGACCCGAGGTAAGCCTCGGCAATCTCCTTCATCTTGATAAGCACCATAGAGGAGATTTCCTCGGCCGAAAACTGCCTCTCTTCACCCTTGTAGTTGACAACAATCATAGGCTTGTCACCAGGACCGGCAATGACCTTAAAAGGCCATAGCTTAATGTCACTCTGGACTGAGGCATCGCTAAACCTCCTCCCAATAAGACGTTTTGCATCTGGCAGCAGGGAAAATACAAGAGCCACACATGGATCATTCAACACAGACAACAATGAAATACAAAACCGATATAGACAACAACAAAAAGAACGGCGATACGACTCAGGCACTATTTTCCATGAATTATATTTGTAATGTCAACAGAACTACACAATAAGAACCTAGAGACTAGAACAGCCATACAACCAAGGAAGTCCTATCATTGCAATCCAACTATCTCACAAAAATTATGGTGGCATAGAACATGGCAGTCATAATAACATCAACTGATTCAAGTAAATAATGATTTTCGTGAAGGAACACAAAACAACATTACCAACCCTGTATAACCAACATTCAACTGTACCAAAATTGAGTAATGAGTATTCAATTTATGCAGCTCCAAACCAATAACTGTCCTTCCAATCAGACCCTATTTTTATGGGTAAATTACATTTTATCCCTTTAAACTATTACCTTTGTTTTACTTTGCACCCTCAATTATAAATTTTCTCACATTGTACCTTTAAGTATCAAATTTGTTTCATATCACTCTAATAGATAATAGCTGCCAATTTTTTTTACGGTAAATATGTATGTGAGTGATCTGTACCGACCTTTTTCTTCCTAGCAACCAGTTAGTTGCGAAAAACGTAAAATAAAATGGTACTAGACACTTGGCGGTAAACTCTTTGGGTGTTTCACTCCCTCCTTTGACAGATTTTCAAATTTTTCGTTCTCTATTGAAATGAGATGGAATAAAATTGATATTTTAGAGTGCAATACAAGAATTTTTATAATTGAGGAAACAAAGTGAAACAAAAATAATAGTTCAAAGAATAAAGTGTAATTTACTCAATTTTTGACAGATAAACAACGGATACCAAATCAAGTTTGCTTTGCATGCTCCGACATAATATTAAGGGCTAGATCAGCTTGCCCAGCAAGGCGAAGCCAAACTTCTTTCGTAATGGGGGCAGCATAAAGCTTAATAATAATGTTAACATTATTTTTATAAAAATAATCACATAAAAAAGCAAGGTAAAAATCCGGAAAAAAAAACTCACTATAAAGCTATCCATAAATGTCAATTAAGGCCATCCAAATAAACCCATTTTTTGAATTAAACTTCTTAATAACCTCCTCATTATTCAATTTTTTAAGAGAATGATCATTGTACATAAAAAATTTCAAAGAATACACAATTGGATCTAGTCGTCATCTGTCACTTCAAATTCAAATGATCAAAGCTCTCTTAGCCAAGTAATAATAGAAACCCTGATTACAATAGCTCTGACAAAATTTCATAAGCTCTTATTTCCATTAAAGTTATCCATTCAATCTACTAGATAAATGCCGATAGAATTCGAAAACCAATTGAGAAAAGACTAAAAATTGGAAGATAAAGGAGAGAGGATAAAGAGTAAGGAGATACCAAGGGAAAAAATTTTAAAGGTAGTAATATTTATGACCATGTATAGTTATGTTCATATCTTATGGAGTATATACCATGTACAACCTATATTTAGTAAGTTTGTATTGCATTTATCCATGTTTGTATTCAACCATTATTTGAGAGGTCTAATGGGGGCACTCCTTCATCGTCCAACTTTGTTAAGACTAAATATTTTTCTAATTAAGCTTTAATTTGGTGACATGTTGATGAGCCATATCCAAAATTGTGAGCACTACTAATAATTAATTGAACTGAGCAATGCTATAGATCTTTAATTTGAGGACTTAATCAGGGATTTAATTCAGTAGACATAATTCAATGCATCTATATGGAGTCCACTTTCAACCCAAGAATAGAATGGAATTAGGTACTTTGATTAACTCTCCAAATTAAATCTAAATAGTATTCTCCAATTAAATTTACAAAAAAAAAAAAAAAATGGATGTCTTATTTTTGGAGGTTACCCAAAATGAGAATGCAAATCTGTTTGGAGGTTAATTAAATATGTCTAATTTGGAACTATTGGATCTATGAGTGAAGACGGTTAGGATCGTTTATTTTTAATTCTTTAGTCGCAAAGACATTAGTGGCTGACACAAGACCCCACTAAACCAGCAAGCCTACCAAATACAAAGCGGCAGAGATGAAACCCCACAATTAAAATACATCAGGACCCCTACAGAGTTTAAAATATTTCAATGGGGTCAAGATTCTAAAATTTTGAAAATTCTAAATACATCCCATTTTTTTTTTAAATTACAGTGGGGGCAGCTGCCCTGCTCCCCACTGTAGATTCGCCCCCGTTGGCCAGGATAATACTATCAGATCTTCACATCTTCGGTCCAATCGTATTCAAATCGTTTACTATACTAAAATTATCTACAAATAAAAAATTGTTACAAAGAAAATAAAGAAAAAAACCTAATAAAGAAAAAAAAAGCAATTAAATATATCGCTATCAAGTCGAGTATTTTGAACAAAAAACTCACATAAGATCAGAATCGAAATTCATAGAAATCGAGAATCAAAAGCTATAAAAAAAATCTATGTAGCACACAATGACAACAGTCTAAATAAAATTTTACAAAGCTTAGCAATCAATTATTCACAACACACAAATATCTGCACACATCCAACAAAACTTAAGATCTAAGTGGGAGAAGTTCAGATTTAAGACGAGAGAGATGAAAGGTTACCGAAGACGGTGTTGATTGGGTTCATGGCGACCTGGTTCTTGGCAGCATCTCCGATCAAACGCTCAGAATCAGTAAACGCAACGTAAGATGGCGTCGTTCTGTTCCCCTGGTCATTGGCTATGATCTCCACACGATCGTGTTGCCAAACACCGACGCAAGAGTATGTAGTTCCCAGATCAATTCCGATCGCCGGACCTTCACCTTTAACAGCCATTGTACTTCCTCTACTTCGAATCGCAGCGAGAGAGAGAGAGAGCTAGTTGTGGTGTACAAAAAACGAGAGATGTGGCCGGCCTGTGAGGAAGCGAGTGGTTTATATGGGGCATTGGTCTCCGTGTTCAGGTTCGAGAATGTTCTTCTCAACCGTCAGCATGAGATAACGTGCTTGACGGGTGGAGCCTGAGGTGGGATTGGGATCTGTGTGACCGACACCTTTGTTCCGTGGACCCCACTTGAGCCATGGGCCATTGGGCTTTTAATCAGCTACCCAGTATGAGTAAGAGGTGGGCTTATTGTTTTACTTAGATGGTGAAAGCCCATATTCAACACAATTTGCCCTGGCCCAATAAACATACATAATTATATAGGGCCATAAAATATTGAAATCGAATTTAATGACATAATTTTTTATAATTTTTGGATTAACGGTAGGCCCCATAAAATATTGAAACTTAATGTTGATCTAATAATTCTTATAAAATTACATCATTATATCAACAAATTAGGTCATATTTTTAGGTCTAAAAACATTGTTCGACTTTATTTTGTTAGGCAGGTAAGTCTCTCTTTTTTTTCTTTTTCTTTTTAAATCCTAAAATACCCCTTGTATTATTTTAACACTAAAATAATTTTCAATTTTCAATGGAGATCTACAGAAAAAATGAAAAATAACAGTGACAAAGAAAAGATAGTGACAACAATTGCGAGAGGAAACAATTTCAAATGAAATTTACTAAATATAAATAGGACAATTAAAAATAGAAAGCCACAAAAAATTAAATAAAAAAAAGTATTTAAAATTTTATTTTGTCAAATTTATAAGTGATATTTATTCACATTCATGACGTCCTATTTACTTGGTAGATTTGACAAGTTGAACCATCATTTTCCACTAATTTGTCAACGCCTAAATTGGCCCCGTCAACAATTTTCACCGAGGCCAATTATAGTTACTCCCTTACGTCACAACTTTTTAAAATTTTACTGAGTCATAATTTTAATCTATTTAAATTAATGTTCTACGATTCAATCGTTAACTTTTATTTTCTCGGAGAACGGAAATTTGCTATGAATAATTGGGTGGAGTTGTCTTCCGACCCAAACCCGTGATTCTCTCAAATTGAAATAAAACCCAAATCTCCACCACCTAATCTCTCTCTCTCTCTCTCTCTCTCTCTCTCTCTCTCTCACAACTCCCTGTTGTTAGCACTTCTGTATTAGGAGACTAATTAATGGGGCCGCCGGCCACATTAGAGCATCTCCAGTAATACTGTTTATATTAGAGAGTATTTTTTTTTTTTTTTGAAATTGAGAAAATCTTTAATAAAATTTTAAAATAAAGAGTAAAATATTTTTGATAACTTCAACAAACTCTAGAAAAAATATAGACTTACTAGTAATTTCACGTGCCTAAAGACGTTATATAAACAAAAAAATCGTAAACAACCTATATACGCCAAGGTGTTGTACAATACAATACAATACAAAAAAAATTGAGAAGATAAAACATTTTATTGATTCAAATAATATAGATAGACAATAAGGTTCAAATACAAACCGGTCTCACAATCAAACCAAACTAAAATTCAACTCATTGGTCAAACACAACAATTTGAGTTGTATTTTACCCTTTTGAGTACTGTGAATTCTTTATGAGAGAGCCCAATAAATCTATCTTATTGATTTAATCCATTTCACCTTAACTTTACGTGCCAAACATGGTGAGACTGTAAAATATGATCCATTTTGAAATCATCTTAAGCAAATCCACTTTACCAAAAATTTAGGTAGTGTTTTGAGAAATAAATAATCATTATTCATGATTATAGCAATCTCTGGAACCCATCAAAAAAACGCAAGAACGCAAGAACTTTAATTAATAGCTGCAAATACGCCTCCCCCCCTATAACATTCACCACCACTTATCATTCCTCTTCTCATCATTGATATAAAACAAAAAAAAATTAATATTCCCATTACTTCATTTTTTTAAAATCTTTTTTTAACAAATTGTATTATCAAAAATTTTTTTATTTTTCTTTTCAAGTCAAAGAAATAAGCTATTTTCGAAGTGATAGTCGGTCAGATAGTTCAAATGACTATAAACCAATGTTATTAAAACTGGACCGGATCGGTTCAACCTTGAATCGAGACCTAAAATGGTTCGATTCTTTACTTGGATCGTTTAAGGAATCAAACAAGTTGTGAATCGAAAAATCGATCGATTTTAGACCAAATTCATGAACCAAACTGTTGAAATTCATTAAAAAATAAATCATCTTTTTAAGCTGTTTTGCCCTAAATCAATCCTATTCACAGGCCATTTACACCTCACACCTTAGTTCAGTGGCCACTCTCAAGCGAGACGACCACTCTGGTGACAAACAACAGCTCTAGGGAGGCGACTACTCCAGCGACGAACAACAACTTCAACAACGAACAGAAACTCCAGCGACGAACAACAACTCCAAGGAGATGACCACTTCGGTGACGAACAGCAACTCCAAGGCACACTCATCGACTTCTCTCTCCTCAAGCCCTTCTCTCTCTCACACACAATCTCACTACGTGTATGCTAGTGTACGCCAAGCTGCCAGCTGATGAATTCCTTGTTCATCAATTTTAAAGACAACATATGTGATTGTCATCTGTCTTTATGAGTTTTGTTCATCAATCTTTATTCATTATTAAAAAAAAATCAATCTTTATTCATTAATTTTTGGCAAATTATATTTATCGTGGATATGTTTTCATTTTTTATAATTTTTTTTATTATATGACCGGTCTGGCTAGTTAAATCAACGGGTGAACCAGTAAACTATTGACTCAGTCCTGTTACCAATTCGATGATTAGTCCGGTTCTGATAACGCTGCTATAAACAAAGGGTTCAACCGCAATCAAAGTGGTTGTCTTAGCGCTCAAAATATAACCAAAAACTTTTGAAACTAATAATTAAAACTCTTGATCGAATCATACAAAGCAAGGTATACAAAATTAATAAAGCATTTATACCACAGATAAAGAAACTTCTTTTAAAAAAAATAAATATTTCAAGATCATATAGTCAGAATGTTGAAAGTATACATGAACCTTTTGATTTTCTTTCATGAAAGCTTTCCCAAAAAACACATTGACTAAATGAACAATGCAAAACAAAATATTTTAAATCTATACAAATGATTTTACCTTCACACTCTATTGCTCATTATGCTGAAATGAATTCCATTTTGGCGTTTGTGTAACACAAAAAATATAAGCCAAAAAAAAATTCAATTAGAAAAAATATTAATTCTTCATCAATTTTACATACCTACAATTGGACTTAGGAATCAAAACCCCAATTTTTATTTAAAACAAAACTCAGATATTCCAACTCTTCTGTCATAATTTTGCCTCAGTTGGACCTAGGCATCAGCTCCATTCATCACATTGACGGCCATATATCCATTTTTAGTAGTTCAACTGCTATCCCAACACAAATATGTGGTGTCAACTTATAAGAGACTTGTCTTGGCCTCTAGAAGAAGTTCCAAACCTTCAATGATCTCTCTTATGTTTTCCTTTGTAACTGTTCTTCCTTTTGTTAGCTCTTTTAGTTTCTCATAAAAGCCTGGAACATCAAATCTTCATATTACCCAAACATATAAATTTAATACTGGGTTAGAATAGGGTGTGTTTAGAATAAAATGCTATCATTTAAATAATGAAAAATGTAAGGGATAAAATTCCATCAGAAACTCTTTTTCTAGAATCTCCCAAAAAATTAGCTATTTTCCCACCAAATCCTCCATTTTTAGCAACATTTGAGTAACTGAAGGAGATATACTCCGGAAGGGATTCTTTAATATCTTCCAGCAATTTCCCACCAGTGCTTTGTTACCAAAATTCATAACACTTGTGATGCATTTTAAGAGATATTTATGGGTGTTCTTTGTTACCAAATCCTCCAAAATCCTGAGTTTTGAGTTAATCTTGTTGTTTGATGTCTTAACCAAGAATCCTAATGTGTTTGACTTGCACTTTTGGATGAAAAAAAACAATTTCACCTCATCAATATTGACAACCAACTTCCTCTCCCCCACAGTCGTCAACTCTCTTCACCCCTAATTATCATCCGAGACAATCTCATCCAATATGGATTTCATTGCAGCTTTAAACATCTAAATCATATAAGAACTATTAAGTTGGTGGTGCTTCAGTTCTACTTGCAACGATAAAATTATATGACATTAAAGTTATATACTTGTCATCTAGTAACAAGGTCCAATGGAACCATAGCATCCATAAGCATATGAAAAAAATTATGATTATTAAAAGTAATTCAAACAAAAAACAAACATCTTATTGTATACGAGGATAAATAGCATAAAGGTTCAAAGATCATACCTTACCAAGAGCTGCACCAATCGTCTTATTAGTTGTCAAAATCTAATTAGCAAAACCCCATATTACTACAAACATGCACACACCAAGGAAAATCACAGAGATATAAAATATAGAAAGCTCAATTGGACACAGCATTCGCAAATGCAATGAGTAGACTCACAAATATACATCGAAGAGTGAAATGAATTACAAAGAAACTGTCCAAAGAAGAGAAGAGAGAGAAAGAGAAGCAGTTTCAAACCACACCATGAAGATGCAAACTAAAAAAATCTCATAAAAACGTTTCTCGGTCTGATTCTACTGCTATATAGGAACCTACTAGCCAAGACAATAATAAAATCAAACACATTAAACAAACACATCACACAACACTCCATCAAAGATATATATATATATATATATACAACCACCTTGACATTTTTTATGCCATATGCACAAAACCAGCACTCATGATTGATGGTGGTCGAAGGGACTGAGAAGAGCGAAGAAATTAACAAACTCAAAATTAACAATCTTAAGAACCCTACCAATTTTGAGAGGAGGGATAAAAACTTATCTGCCCATGAACAAAAACGGTGGCAGTGGGAAGAAACTTAGATAAACTACCAAATTGGAGTACCAAAAAATCAAAAACTTTGTTCGTAGCGACATTTCATTGAAAACATAGTGTTTGTGGGTTGTGCCGCAGGGACAATTGGTGGTTGTGGGTGACACTTGGTGACTCAATTGGTGGTGATATCATCTTGGCAATTTAT